ACAATGTAAGGCTCATCTTAGAAGTTCAATAAATTCTCCTTGAGTAAAAGAATAAACACATGAATATATGAGTGAAGGTATGATATGCATTTGAGTAAGTAGTTTCTTTAGTTTTTTTTTTTTATTCTGCTTCAATTTACTCTGGGTTTTTTGGTTGTTTTTTTTAAAATAAAACTTGTCAACTATATGTAGCCATTCAGGATCAATCTCCTTTAAAAATAGGTACAGTGACTCATTTTTATTTTTTAAAGAAACTGTCTATTTCCAATAGCCCTATTTCCAGAAACACTTCATAATGCACAAGCTTTCAGCTTGCAAATGGTTTCATTTTAGTTTCATACCAGGAATAGCTTGTATGAATCCATAAACATGAATGAGGCTCTTCTTGTGGGATTTTCCTATTTTAGTCCAATGCTTACTTCAAATAGAACCCATTTGGGTCAATTCTGCTGCCATAAACCCATTTAAACTCAAAGTTGCCATTGTAAATAGCAGGATTAAAAGCAAACATACCTCAGCCATCATTGATTCATATCTCAGACATAGACAATAAGATAAATATATCTATTCAAATATATTAGGATAAAAATGTTTAAAACAAATAATCCATTTTTATCATTCTTCAAGGTAAGCCTAAATTTTTAATAAATAACATGAATAATTCTTCCCTTAATGAACTATTTTTAATGAATACAGGAATAAAAATGCTGACACTTAAAAATATAAATGGAAAGAGAGCAGACAACACATTTACTAAAGACTTATTCTAGGATCTAACTTGTGAAAAGTTTTTCCTTACCACATGCCTGATACTTTTCACAGAGTTAGTGAAAAGTTTTAGTCAGTTTAAATAGTGACTATTTTCTTCAAGCAACAAGTATTTCCACTTTTCATCACATATGATTCAAGTATTGTGCATAGCATTTAAGTCAGCCAGGACCATGGGGATGCAATCAGTAAATCCAGAACGTGGGAAGTTCTACAGGACAAACGACCCAGTTCTCTCAACAAATGAATTGCTTTCCTTACTTGGCTTTGAAAGAAGTACTTGGGCTACTTTGGGGAGTACAACTTATAGAGAGACAAAGTTGGAACCACAGAGACCTGTTAGGAGCTATTGCACTAATTTATGTAAGAGGTGATGGCGGATTGGTCCAGGGCTTTAGTGGTAGAGAAGGTAACAAGTGGTCAGGTTTGGGTATATGTTGAAATTAAAGTCAAAAGTATTTGCTGATGGATTGTATACAGGGTGTGAGAGAAAGAGATAGATAGAAACAAGGACAATCCAAGGAATTTTTTCTTCAAACACTGGAAAAATGGAGTTGCCATCAACTGAAATGTGATGACTGCAGGAGAAGTAGGTTTCAGAGGGAAATTAGGAATTTAGTTTGGGGCAAGTTTGAGACATTTATTAGACTTCCAAATGGTAGTCAGTTGGAAATATCAGCCAAGAGTTCATGGGTGAGTTCTGGGCAGGAGATATAAATTTAGGAGTACTCAGAGTATATACATGCTTTTAATCCATGAGCATAAATTAGATCACCAAGGGAGTGACTGTAAGTAGAGTAGAGATCTGTTGCTTCAAAATTACTGTGGAACAAACAACTCCCAAATTTAGTGATTTAAAACATCAACCATTTACTCTCATAGATCTGTGATTGGATGAGGATTTGTTAATCTAAGCTGGGCTTGACTGGGGGGGTCGTTTGGCTCTGCTCCAAGTATCTCTCATCATTCTCCTAGGGCCTGAGGACTAGCCCGGGCATTTTTTATTTTTTATTTTTATGGTAATGTCGGAGGCACAGGAAAGAAAGCAGAAACATATAAGACCTTTTGAGGTCTAGGCTCAGAGCTGGTGCAGCATCACTTCCTTCTTCTACTGGCCAAAGCAAGTCACATAACTGAACCCAAAGTCAAAGATCAGTAAACTAATACAATAATAAGGCAAAGACATTGATACAGGGAAGGTTAACAATTTGAGTTCAGTCTGCAATCTCATACGTCCAAATATTGGGTCCATCCTTGGGCATTTTAACTTTTAAGGGGCCCCATATCTAATCAGGGACCAAACAAGATTACCTTAGACATAATCTTAACCACTGCTCCCCCTTGCCTAAAGGAACTTTATTGAAGCACCCATACTTTGATTCTTGTCAAAGGAATGAAAATGTTGACTCTATATTATTACTTTCAAAGAAAGTCTGCAGCAAGATACTCCAAGATGCCAAAGTGTGCCATCTAACAGTCTGAAAAGAAAAACACAAAACAAAACTTAATGAAGCAAATGATGAGACACCTGTGTCTGAAATTAAAGAAATTTTCATCTTCAACAGTAGTGTCTGATAGAATATCTAACATGAATGAATGAAAATGTGTGTCTGATAGAATATCTAACGTGAATGAATGAAAACGTATCATGCAGACATCATAAGCTTGGCACCAAACAGCAAGTTCTAATTTTAAATAGGCCGTGGCCAGTCATTTTTTTTTTTTTCAAGCTGCTAAGATGCAGCATGTGCATTTTACCCTGTTCTTTGGGGGGAAGATATTTTTTTAAACTGAGGAAAGTATTTTATAAACATATGTAAAGTTTTTCCCAAGCTTTTGAGTATATTTAAAAGTAAGAAAATTGGAGGAATAATTCTTTTTAAGGATATAATCTGCTGTTATTTTAGACTGCTTTTACCAGATCTAGAGATTTCAAGGGCTGAAGAAGTCTTAGAGATTATAATCACCTAATATTATAGATGAAGTAACAGAGGTCCAGAGAGGCTAACCTGATTCTTTGGACAATAAAAGAATTGGTTCACGTGAGTTGTAATCCAGTGGGGGTAACACAAAAGGGTAACTGTGGGAGGCTTTACTCCCATGTCCACTCCATTCATCTCCATAATCTCCAGTCATCCCCCTGCCCCGCTCCTCAGCAAACATAAATCTAGTAGAAACTGAGATTTACTGCTCAACCAAACTTCTAAACAAGGTGACCCTGCTCCCACCCAGCCCCGTATAGCAATCCTGGAGAGCTCACTGTCGACTTACAGGAACAACCTTCCTTTTCTACACCAGTGTCTAGAGTTTTGTGGGCCTTGAAACACTGGAGAATTTGTTGGTATCCTGTTACTTCATTTATTCCCTTCAATCTCTCTGTGTCTCTCCCTACCTGATTTGCACTAAGGGCCAATTTTGGAGATGGTGTTTATGTACGTCTGTGGGAAGTGATACATCTTTTGTTTCCTATAGATATTAACTAGTTGGCCTATTTAAGCTTAATTTCTTTTTGGGAGTTTATTCTTTTTTTTTTTTTTTTTTTTTTTTTTTTTTTTGGAATTGGGGAAGGGGAACAGCCAAGTTGTTGTCCTTCAATCTTAGTTGTAGCAGGAATGTGCTGCTTTTCCATTTTCTATTTTAGGGGACCCTGAGATGTTCAGGAGGTGATTACTTTGCCTATTGTACTCACCTTCAAACAATATCTAA